AAAGTTTGAGATAATTATATTGTATCTATTGATACTGATTTGTTTACATTATTAACTTCCACATCTATGAGAGCCTTAGGAGCCCTAGTGGTTCGGGGGTTACCAGTTCAGTTCCACCAGTGGGTCTATAGGAAAAACAGGAAGCTTCCTGCTCCCAAATTGATTTATATCCCTGGAAACACAGAAGGGGCAGTTCTACTTTTATAGAATCTTGATGAGTTGAAGTATACTCGATGGCAGTAGATTTGGGGGAATTCATGGGACCATTTACAATGATAAAATAGATTTTGTAGGTCAATGGAGCCATTGTGTCCCTCTTTGACACTTCAACTGTGGATTAGTTAAGGAACAGTTAGGTGCTTTTTTGTTTTGATAGTTTTCATATGACTTATGTATGATAAAAATTCCTACATTTTACTTGACAACTTAAATTTATAAATCCAGGATCTGTATAACTTTTGTTTGGTTTCTTTGCTTAAAATAAAAGAACACTTCCTCTTTTCTAATTGTTGTTTTATATTTGGTCATCACCTATAAAGAGACCTTTAGCAAGCAATTTACCCAAAATTTCTGTGACATAATAGGCTAACTTAATGACATCCATCTATATGTTGCGTTCTTTTCATATTACATCATTGTAGTCTCCTAAAGGTATTTTTTTATTTCATGTATAAAGCAGCAGTAAAATATTTTAAAATAAAGGATTTTCATTATTTTCTTATTCACCTAAATCAAATATCTCCTCCTAAGAAGTGGACAGGAAAATGGCTCACTTGAAGACGTATATTAGCATTAAATATGTTGCTGAATACTAACATGTTCTCTCATTGTTATTTGTTATTGAACAATACTATGACTACAGTACAATGTTCTTAAAACAGCACCCAGAATTCAACCTCACTAACACAACTCTTTAACTTTACCTATATATTTTTACTCCATATGATGTCAATTTTATTTTCCTGTATGAAAAACGTTCTAATTATCATTTAAAATCTTATCAAATTGTGAATATCTGTGTCTTTAGATGGAAACACAAGGACAGTTGTCCCACAAGGACAGTTTTTATTGCAAGTAGCTTGAGGTAGTTTGTGAAGCATATTAAGAAACAAAATTTTCAGAAGGAGGATTAGGGAAAAAAGAGATATTTCACTACTAGACAAAAATAACCACTTATAGAATCAGGACTCAAATTCAGAGATAAGATTAATAAACACTCCTACATCCTCCTGCCATCTACCACCAATCTTTTTGTTGCCTATTAAAGTTGTTTCCACATGTTTTATATTAAAAAAAGGAATTTATATAGGCTTAATGAACAATTGCCATGACGATATTTTGGATATCTAAACTAGTGCTTATCATCTAATCCAAAATCAGAACTCTCCTGAAAGATCTAAATGCAATTATTATAATATGCATATAATAATTTTCCTTTTACCATTTTTATCTTAGAAAAATATCCTATGAAAGAAATGGCTTATTAATTCAAAAGGCAGAAATGTAATTATGAGTTTGGTCATGGACAGCCAGGTGAGAAATTGTCGAGTCTTTTGGTCAATCTTATTTATCAGAGTTCAACCAGGAATCTATCACAGTGTATTGAGAAGGTTTCCTAGCCCTTTGACCCCCTCCCAAGACATGAGGTCAGATCAGTAGAGCTCAAGAATAGGTAGTCAATAATCACATAGCCTTTGCCTAAGAACAGTTCATTAGTTCTCCTGACACGGTCCTACTCAATACTCACCCTCAAGAAGAAATCACTAAAGCTCTAAGTGCTATAACGAGTGTGGTGAAGAAAACAGATTGAACCTGGCTATCAGAAAGAATAATGTCTGAGGTCTTAAAGGCTTGTCTTAAAACAAGTAGCCATCTAAGTGAGACATAAACTAAGTCCTCATGGAAGATGCACACCAGACAGTATGCTCCAAGAAGGGTAAATAGTAAAAGTCAAATAGAAAAGAAGAGTCTAAATTGTGAACACCCAGTTTGCAGAAAGCTGTGGGTGACAGTGGAAGTGCAAAATCCATTTGTAGGGTCCCCACAAGGAATAAGCCTTGATGAATCCTCTCTGAACATTGTCCAGGGATGTAAACAGTATCGTAAAGTTGATTATGGCAGATGTAGTAAGCTTGAAATGATCACTTTTCGAAATCATTTTATTGGGGCCTCCTGCAGCTCTTAGCACAATCCATACCTCCATCCATAGTATCAAGCACATTTGTACACTTATTGCTATCTTCATTTTCAAAACATTTTCTTTCTATGAAAGCCCTTGGTATCAGCTGCTCATGTTTTGTTGTTCTCCCTCCCCCATCCTCCCTCCCTCATGCACCCTTGATAATTTATAACTTTTTTTCATATCTTACACTGACCCATGTCTACCTTCACCCAGTTTTCTGTTGTCCATCCCCCTGGGAGGGGGTTATGTGTAGACCAAAATTATCATTTGTTCTCTTCTTTGACACATTTTAGGTAGCTGTAGTTTTTAATATTTTCTGCTTTCTTTGTGATTAAGGTTCTTCTCTGTTTTGTCATTATTCTTGGAGGAGTGGAGTTCTTTCTTTTATGGTTCTGTTGTACATGATTTTCTGTATAAGGAAGCCATATGAGACAGTAACTGGATAATAACATAGAGACGGTAACCGGATTAATAATTACCTAAGGGCATGTAACTGGATTAATAGAGACAGTAACTGGATTAATAATTACCTGAGGGCATGACACAGGAAGTTGGAGTGGAATGAGGAGCTAAAAGCAAAAGAGTATGAGAAAGAAGAAAATGTTCTGTAATTGATGGTAGGATGATTGCACAACTCTTCCTCATGTATTAAGTTTCATAGTATGTGAATTATAGGCCAGTAAAACTATTTTTAAAAAGAATAAGTAATCAAGGCAGGTGATATTTCCACCAAAAACTCAAATGTATCTCTCTTGGGTTACTAAATTAGGGCATCTTTGCAACAACTAGATTTTTAGTTGTTTCTTCTCATAAACCCATAATATAGATTTCTAATTTACTGAAAATAATAAGAGCTAGGAACAGGGTCAGCACCAGAGATACTGTGTGGGAACTGTGCCCAGTCTGACCCCTTCCACACTAGGGCATTACAAGAATGGAGCACAACAGAGCAGCAAGGGGAGCAAAGGAAAATATTCCCCAAGGAATATTTAAAATAGACTTCTGGCTCAAGGGTCAGGGCATGGCACTGCATCAGACTCAATCAGAAAACATTCATAAGAGTCAGTAGATAGACCTGGAAGTATTCATAGGCTATTTTTTTCTTTCTCTCTCGCTCTCGCTCTCTCTCTCTCTCTCTTTCATGTCTATCTATATAAGAGAGGCAGCATAAATAATGTGGAGGAAAAAACAAAGGAATTGATGATTCTGGGGGACAAAGAAGAGGAGGAGGCATGGGGAAAGGAGCAGGGAGCCAGCAAACCCAGGGACAAGGGAAAAACAAGAGATGTAAAATTGATGGTGAGGAGGGCATAGAATGCCTGGTGGGATGCAATCAAGTGCAATGTAGCCAATGCAATGTACAGAAAGCTGAATGAAGATAGAACATGATAGTGGGACATGTGGAAAGTAAAAGGAAATAAAGACAAGAACAATAGACAAGTGTAGAGGTATAAACATAGGCATGTACATATGAAAACATATTAATATATAACAATTTGGATATAGGTCTATGTACATATATTTATATGTTAAGTATTAAGGTAGCAGACAGATATTGGGCCTCTACTCAAGTTCTCCCTGAACGCAAGAACAATGTGTTCTAATAACCTGGCTTTCTGTGATGCTCACCTTCCTTACATGATCGCTAAAGACAAAAGGTGTGCATAAGCAAACGTGGTGAAGAAAGCTTATGGTTCCGGCCTATTAGAAGATAGGACATCTGGGGTCTTAAAGGATTAAAGTTAAACAGGTGGTCATCTAGCAGGGAAGCAACAAAGCCCACATGGATGAAGAATAGTAGCACATGTGATCACAAGATGTCCTTGGAATCAGGTATCAGGCATCAGAAGACCCAAAACAATGTGAACAAGAGGGGTCAGAAAGGAGACCCAAAGTCCTTCTGTAGACAATGGAATATTCCCCTCACAGAACACTCAAAAGGAAAGGCGGAGCGAGTCAGGGTGCAGTATAGCATCGATGAAACACACAACATTCCTCTAGTTCTTTAATGCTTTCTCCCCCCACCACTATTATGATCCTAGTTCTATCCTACAAATATGGCTAGACCTGAGCATGTACACTGATACA